TCCCTCTGGCCCCAAATTTTCTGCTGCCAGGTGCCTCAGTAGTATTAGCACTTACTTCACGTAAAACTGGATTAAAATTGGATTTGAGGAGAGCCTTCACTTTGGTGAAGGTAGAGCACTGACATAACGAGTTCTGTGAGGACTAGAGCCTGCTTCCATGTATTCCAGCTGGCAAATTGTAAATGCCACACCAAACTTTGTATCTTGAAATTGTTCTAATAACGTAATAAGGAGAAAAGCCTGCGGCATTCCAAGTTTCTGATATTTGGAATTAGAGCATCTTCTGCTGAGAACAGGCCTCTGTGTATGTCTGGAGAAGAGACTTACCCATTTGGAGTAGAAGTAGCATGTGGTCCACCTGGCTATTTTAAATGTTTTAAGTAATAACAAGTAAGAGAATAAGTTGTCGTCTTCTTCCTGAGATACCGTTGTCTTCCATCATCGTACTTCAGTTTGTGCAGTGATGCCATGTTTGGTTTTTATTTTGTAGGCCCTGTTATGAACGAGCTGACCAGGCTGAATTTTTTTGATAACGCCGTAACGAGAGAGTTGCTGTTCCACAGCATTCATGATGCTGTCCTTGCTTGCCAAGGGAAAGACGGCTCTGCTTCCCAGACTGACTTTGACCTCTGAAGAGTGGCATCGAGCAGAACAGAAGCCAGATTTATGCTGATGGAGACTCTTCCTCAATATTTAATAATTTGCACAGTTTAAAGAGAGCCTAAGGCTGTTTGTATCTACGGGTATAGGGCAGTGCTGCTTTTCTGTAGGAAGAGTGGATAAGGAACTGGAAGCCTTCATGCTCTTGAATTTTTTTCCTTCAATCAGGGTATAGCCTTCCAACGACATACAAGCACAAAATTATGCAAGACAAGACAGTTCAGTGTATTCTGCTACAGTCAGAATCCGATAGACAAGGTGACATTCCTATTCCTGTTGAGAAAATGGGCACTTTAACTCACTACGAGGTGGGATCTTGCAGGAAATAACCGTTCTGCACTTGCAATGCACTGTACCAGTGTCTTTAAAGAACTTTCTTAGATGACTTTTAAAGCCTGATGTCAACATCTGCGTACAACAGATTCATATAAATGATAATAATCTGCTAGCTGGATTAATGAATTCACACTGGTGGTGTTTAGCTGCTACTCTTTTTAAACCTGGATGGCACAGTTATTTTTTTAAAATATCTAACCTGTGTCAACTGTACCAACTCTTCATTGCCTGAACATTTTCACTCTTAAGTGAACCTCAAATTAGAAACTTGTTTAATTATTACATTACCCATGAGGTACTTTCACTGCCAAGATCTAGTTGTGCTTTCTAGAAAAGAATAAAGTTGATTTTAAGCTAAAATTAGTTTAGCTTCAAAGTCTGAAGACAAAACTGGTTTAAAGCAGGCGTGAAGCCTGTTAAAATTAAATTCAGAACTGATGCCCTCTATGCAGCCTCTTTAAGCTGGAATAAAAATGTAGACGAGGTCTAAAGTCTCAATGGTCCAAAAAAAAGAAAAAAGTACTTTTCTGTTGCCTGAGATACCTTCCTACCAGCAGTCTTGCTTCTGCCTCAACTTGCAAGTGCTTTGAGAAATAGATTTCAGTAGAACTCAAAAATGTTACGTGGTTGGGTTTTTTAAAAGAAAGAGTAGTGTGGGGTTTTTCTGTTGTCTTCACAACCTGGCTGCCACGGTACCGACTCACTGTAGATGCGAGCTGAAAAACATGGAAATGTAATTCAAGCAAAAGAATAAAATCTTCAATGCCTGTATTTCCCTAACAGCAATCGCTACGCATCTGAGCAGGAGCAGGCACCCTAAAGCGTCTCCCTGTAGGTTATTCCGACAGCAGAGGGGAAGGGGAGCTCAGTGCACCCTCAAATCAAAGGTCCTGTGCGCAAGGGAACTCGAGCGACTTCCTCTCCTCTGAATGCAGACCTTGGTACTCTCGTTTTGCTTCGGGCTCTGCGTGATTAATGCTTGCTTCAGATAAACCAAGCGTCCCAAGAACTGTGGCTGTTGGGGAAGATGTTTTCTTTCCTCAGCCTCCCCTGCCAATAGGGATAGGAAGCTTTCTGCATCAGAAATTACTGCTTAGCTGGAGTTCTAAGGATGAATTGAATGCATGTTAACACATTGTGTGTGTTCGTTTAAATGACTTTTGGTACATTTTATAATGTTAATTAGTTTAACAAGGCTTTGTATCTACATACAGTATATTTTTCTACTTTCAGCTTGTCGCAGCTTCAGTTTTTAACTACATACTCTCTTCAGTTCACGTCAAAATCCTGTCAACTTCTGAAATAAAGTGATGATCATGACTTGTCACAATTTTCCACTTTGTCTGGGTGAGCCCCTGTGTGGGACAAGTGCCTGTTGCGAAGGGGTGGGCTGGGAAGGGTCGCCCCCTCCGTGCGGGTCCTGCGGGCTGCTCGGGGTCCTGCTCCCCACCCTCCTGGCTCCCTCACCTGCAGGAAGCCCTCTCCATGCCAGGCCTCACACTATTACTGCTGCATTCCCCAGCCTGGCAGCAAGAGCTGTGCTCCCGGGAGCTGCTGAAATGCCGGGCTGAAAGCCTCTGCCCCAGAACATCCTGGATCCCGGCCTGGGCGGCGCTAGCGCAGTGCAACCTGCTCCCGGGCACCACGGGCGCTGTGCTAACGAACCCATCCAGTAAAATCATCAAACCTGGGGCCTTCGCGTCTCTCCCTGCGCTGCGCTGCCACCAGCTGAAGCGCTGCTTCGTACTCGCCGGCCTGGGCCAGCTCCTGAAAAGTAACCGCGCTTCCTCCTCCCTACGCTGACTAACAGACTGCTATCTAAAAGTGTAAACCCCACCTTAGGCTCGTCAGTGCTAGAGTAAACCAACCCGCACCCTTCAACCTCCCAACAGGGCTCATCTCTTTTTCCCCTCTCCAGTTTGTCCGCAGTGACGGGGGGGCCTCACCCCACCGCAGCACGTGGCACTCTCAGCCCAAGTACCTCTTAACAGAGTACTATTCCTCCCCCCCTCCTTTTTTGCAATTTGCTAATTCAGGATACCCGGTAAGCTCCAAACTCTTCTCACATCCTTCACTTACCCTTTTCAAGTAAAAGGTACGCTTCGTTTCACGTGCTGCGCTTGGTAGAGAGAGACTCTGTCAGCGCTGCTTTCTGAACCACTTTCCTCTCAGTCTCGAAATGAAAAAAAAAAAAAAATTCTGTCCCCAATAAACTTGCATCTGTCCCCAAAATGTTCTCACAAAATAACACCTAACGGTTGTGTGGGCAAACGCACAGGATTGCCTGAGTTTGCTGATCAAGACAGACAGTGACACAGGAAGAGGAGACAGGAATCTCCCTTCCCTTAGTGCTAAGAAATTACACTTACTTCTTTCTTCCTCCTTGACCCACTTATATTTTGTAAAAAAACAAAGAATCTCAGCAAAAGGGACGAAGAAAACCACTGAAGAAAAAACACAAGTTATGATGATGCCTGGGAACGCTGCAGGCACTCGGGGATCTTTCAGCACCTCCACAGCCCAGAGGGTGTTTTGGGGTGTAAGCGGTGACTGGGGATCTAAACCTCGGCTTTCTAACGTTGCCCAGGTATCTGGTTTAAAAATCTCTCACTGCTTTAGGCTCTGGTATTAGAATCTCACTCAGATTTTTCTGCTACAGCAGCAATACTTCACTAATGCAGACCACCCCCATCACGCACTCACACCTACTGTTTGGAATACTCCGTTTATTTCTAGTTTCCAAGCACAAGACATGAATTACTCCACTTGGCTTTTTGTTTCATAGAAAGTTTAACAACAGGAACAGGAAGAAAACCGCAAGACATTAGTTGTAGGTCATGTAGCGGGGGGTGGCGCTGAATTTCGCATACGATTTAATGACTTTGTTCACTGCTTCTAAGAAGTCTTTCTCTGTTGCGATTTTTCGACGTGCTCGGATAGCAAACATGCCTGCCTCCGTGCAGACACTGCGAATCTCAGCGCCTTCGAAAGAAAGGGATAAACGAATTCAACACTGACCCCCAGGGGAGATGATGCATACAGAAAATTGTTTAAAAAATAAAAAAAATATCAGCTTACCTGTGCTATTAGGGCACAGTCGAGCCAACAGCTCAAATCTTATGTCTCTTTCAACGCTCATCGAACGAGCATGTATCTTGAATATGTGAGTTCGCCCCTGAAAAAAGAGCGGAGGAGAGAAGTGCTCATGCTATGAAAGAGGCGATGACTCTCGGCGTGCAGCTGTCCGCATCCAGAGCAAGGGCAGATGGAAAACAAACCTTTTATTTGCTGCCCGACTACAGTTTCCTACGTCTGGACTAGCATGTGTAAGTGTCCATGACACTAAATTAAGAAAATAACTTTAAAAAGAGCTTTAATGGTAGAAGTATCTCAAGAAATCTCTCTCAAAGAGCCAAACAAAATACATTCCAACTTCAGAACTACATCACGGATCTGGTGAAAGGATTCTTTATCTGTTGAGCCAGGACTATACAGTGAATATCGCTATCCACCATGGCTTCTCAGCCAGGGATGGAATCTGTGCAGCGTGGGACAACCTTTTTGGCACATCTTTAATCCCCCAAATGCCCGTGTAGTTTCACGTAAGTGAAGAGTGCTGCTTTTGTTAATTCTTGTGAACTGCTTCCAGACAATAATGCCCTAACTGAAGAAACACGCTGATATCAGAAAGCAAGCATTCTCACCTCAAGATCAGGCAAGCTAAACTCGATCTTCCTATCCAACCTGCCGGGCCTCATCAGGGCTGGATCCAGAGTATCGGGTCTGTTGGTAGCCATCAGCACTTTGATGTTGCCTCGTGGGTCAAACCCATCCAGCTGGTTGATCAGCTCCAGCATAGTACGCTGCACTTCGTTGTCGCCCCCGGCCCCATCATCAAACCGAGCCCCTGGCGAGAGCAGACACCCGTGTTTCACAAAGCGAGAGGGGGACCTGCGGCGCGGGGAGGAGGTGTCGCAGTCCCCCGCCTAGCAACTGGCCAAGCTGCTGAGCTTCAGAAACGTAGTTTGGTTGGTTGGTTTGCCTCCCCTCAACCAAAATCCCCACCGCCCCGCCTTGTCTGTGTAAACATTGTTCTGCTTTCAAAGGACCCAAGTAATTCCTTTGGGGAAAAAAAAATCATTTCCTTTTCAGGCAGTAATAAAGATTTAGTATGTAGTCCAGAAGCCAAAGGGGGTTTAAGTTAACAGTACTTTTTGCCAACACAATACAGAGATTCTTCACTAAAGTTTAAATAATCTGGATGTTCTAAACGTGCAAAAATGACTTCTCATCTGGGCTAAATATGTTCAAATTTATATAAAACACTTCTTGATAGCTTCCTGGACACGCGACGTGCTGGTAGTCGTTTTGCTAAATAGGTATTTACAAGCACATTACTTGAAATGCAGCAATCCAGATAAAGAATTACAACATGAAAAGAAAACCTGAAAGTTCTCTATGATGAGATTAGAGCTATACATACTGCAAACATACCTCCAATGGCATCAATTTCATCAAAGAATATAAGACAAGCTTTTTTAGTTCTGGCCATTTCAAAGAGTTCACGAACCATTCGAGCTCCCTGGGAAGAAAAAAAAAAAAAAAAAATCAGGATTTTGTTAAAGATTCAAGACACGTTAAAGAAAAACTATCACAACGAAGCTTTTCATGCTTCCAAACACTTCTAAGTTTCCAATGATAAAACTCTCTTATTTGTACACACGCACACGTATATATAACAGAACATTCATAGAACTTAAAGCGATTTATCAAGGAGAGACAGATTACTGCTCTTAAAGTCAGAAGTACAGATGAAGCCAATTCCTCAGGGCCAAGTGGAAAGCAAGTGGCAGAGCTGGGAACAGAATCCTACTCCCAGAATCCTCCCGAACCACAGCTTAAACTCTGCACTGCAAAATCCATTTCATCGACGACAGCACAGTCCAGGTCTCATAACCGACTGCCTGATCTGCAGAGATTTGTCTGACAGCGCCTCCCCTCTCCCTGTATCCCCAGCAGGCGAGTACATTCACCCACCATATCCACGACGGTGCCTGGCCCGCACGACTGGACATCAGCAAATCACTCCACCCTCCATCAGGTATTTGCTCTTACCTCTCCCACGTACTTCTGCACCAGTTCGGATCCAATTACTCTGATGAAGCAGGCATCAGTCCTGTTAGCAACAGCACGGGCACAAAGTGTTTTGCCTGTACCAGGTGGCCCAAACAAAAGTACTCCTTTGGGAGGCTCAATTCCAAGGTTAACAAATCTTTCAGGCTGTAATGGTGGGAAACAGAAGACAAGGTTATGTGCAAATTACAGATCATGTGCACCAAAGGGTATATGCAAATTAAGAAAATCGTCAATGAAGAGCAATATAAACCAGGCTAGGCTGGATTTCACTTGTTAAAACTAGGCCTCCTTTCACCTGGGTGTTTACACTCAGCTACATTATTCTTTTCATGCTTTTTCAAATGCTAACAGGTGACCAGAATGCTTTCAAAATAATAAAATTTTCAATCTGGAGGATACTTACATGAAGCAGAGGGGTTTCAACCACCTCTCTCAGCTTTTCAATCTGCTCTTTACAACCACCAACATCACTGTAAGTGACGTCTGGTTTTTCTTCTACCTGCACAACAAGAAGGTGAGCGAGCAGTTAACAGCCTGATGCTGCACATCTCTCCAGGCTTTCAAGAGCCTAGAACAAAATCCAGCCGAAGTAATCAGAGTTACAAGACAAATCAATGTCATAATATGTAAAGGCAGCTCTCACTTGCATCATGGTGACTGTGGGATCAATCTTTGGAGGCAAGGGGATATGGATTTGATACTTGTTTCTGTCCACCCTGGTGAGAAAGAATACAGACTGTTATTTTAACACCGGTTAATTAAACTGTCATGTAGAAACAACTCTGTAAATTAGAAGCTGAATTCTTAAACTGTTCTTTTCTCTGGCACCAAGACAGCCCAGCCCTGAAAGCTAACAGTCAGATGGGCTAGAAATTGGAACTCCTTCTGCAGAGAAGTTTAAGGTTTCCAAAAATAGTAGTTCCAAGGTATTTTGAAAACTAAACTTCAAAATATCCCACAGAGCAAACTGGCAAAATATGGATTCTAAAAGTAACTGGCTTCACCTCCTTAGCAAACACTTCCTGCAGCCACTCTGTGTGTAACTGTGCAGGCTGCCCAAGAGGAAGCGGGCTACGCAGGCTCCCTGAAAGCTGGGACTGTTGGGACCCGAACTGAAAGGTTTCAGTCCATGACGCACGGTTCTCGTCAGAATGACATCAAAATCAAAAGATTCCAGCACAGCATGCAGGTGAGTTACTGTCTTCCAACAGAAAGACATTAGTGTTATAATTTCAACTATGGCAAAAATACGAAATGATAGTTGTTGAGCTGTCAAACTAATGGATCAGACGAGAAAGCTTCAGTCTCCAGGAAAACTCATAAGAACATAAAGATTTTGCTTACCCAACTCTCATGCCTTCTTCTATGTCAGTAGGTGCCACCTGGTCACTGAGATCCACCACGAACTTGGCAAACTGCTTGACATTGATAATGTACTTGGGGTCCTCGGAGTCTGCATTGATTATCTTTGTACACCTAACACACAACATACAATTAACACCACCAGGCAGACAAACTACCTGGCTTGCTATTTGTATAAGCATCAAGATGAGAATTGTATTTTCCAAATACACTGAAATAGCTATTGTGCTTGTGATTCTATTACTATAGCATCCTACAATAATTACAGGAATAACTACAAGTATGAAGTACGCAATACATCATCAAGCATAACAGCTCCTTTTTGACACAATGGTAAAAGGCACTTTCAATAAGCACAACAGGTGAACCTTATTTTTTAAAAAAGTCTACACGTGAGCTATAAGTCACATGTTTACAGTATGCAGCTCCACTCCAAAGAGGAAGAGTGCGCCCACCTTGCAACTTGTAACGGTTGCTCGCTTTGGAGAGTTTGCTTATCTGCAGCCAGATCCCAAAGGGCAGGAGGAGCCAGGCCGGTGTCGGATTCCTTGATTCCTGTGTAGGACACAGACAAGCTGAGGAGGAAGCAGCTAACTGGTACCTCAGCAATCATTCCCACACCGAGAACCTTACACACAAGCCTGCAGGAAACTGAGATCTCTAAAGCACACCGAGAACCTTACACACAAGCCTGCAGGAAGCTGAGATCTCTAAAGCACACGCACACACGCCTTTGACGGACTTCCTAAAAAACAAGTTTCCTAAAGAAAGGAGGCCTATGTGCCTGTGCCAGCTAAACATGCAAATACCAGTCTAGTCATCCTCTAATACAATGTGTGGATGATTACAACAAAGCGGGATAGAAATATCAGAGATAAGCATATTTCTAAAAGTTTCAGAAAAGGAGTGAAACTCTGCAAGTGCTTTCACCCAGGGAAAGCTTTGGTGCAAGATATCGGAAGCTAAGGGATTCACACAGATGAAAAACGTTACAAATCTCCCAAAACATGGATATAAAAAGCACCACTGCCATGATGTATTTGAAAGAATCAAGGATTTTACTGGAAAAGAGAAATTGCGGTCTTCCTGGCACAACTGAGGGCCATTAGAGGATTAGCAACAGGGCAACAAACATACACCAGTGAAACAAAGAAAGAAAAATCAGGGAACAAATTAGTTTTTATTGTAACTGCCATAAGTGGCCAGCTGATTTTAAATGCTAATTGCTCTGATACGCATTTCTTCATTATACAAGGACTGGTACCACTACTTAATGATAATAGGTTGGGTTTTTGCAGTCTCAACAAATTATCTAGTGGCAGCAAGGGGCATTCATTTCATGCCACCGTAACACATAAAAATTACAGTTTTGAATAAAAATGTGTTAAACTACAAAATTACACAGTCATATGTACAGATTAGCCCTGCTCAATCAAAAGGGCCATCACCCACAAAGCAAAAATCTCACGTTACCAAATAAAGAAATGTATTCTTCTGAGAAAAATAACAATAATAAACCAATGCAGAAGATGTTTAAAATCAGCTTCTTAAAACACTCGTTTTGGTACACATGCTCTTCTATCAAAAGTTATCTTAAGACAGAAAGATACCAGTGAGCTCATTGATTTTCTTAAGTAGTTGTTGAATATCATCTTCTACTTGCTTGATCTGCCTTGAGTATGTGCTCTGGCCCTGGAAAATAAATATCATGTACATTTCGTAACTCAAATTATTTTCTGTTTAGGAAAAAATGCCAATAGCTGCTGAGCGTCAAGATGTTCAATAGACTCTCTTGGTATAACAGCCAACTATTGATCACAGCCAAAAAAGACAGTATTAAGTTCCAGTAACAATATTTCTGTTCACAAAAACAGAGCGCAGCTATCCACAATCAACCAATTGCGCAAGTGGAAATTTTTCACATTTGTAAACTTCAAGGATTTGTTTTTCTCTTAAACTTGTTCAGCCTTATTTTTTAAACTATTTTTTTCTAAAGTTTAAAAAAGACTTAGTAAAAATTGTATATAGACAGAATTCTGTATACATTATCTGAAAATCATCTGTACGAGCGCTTTAACCACCTTACCCAACCTTTCTATCATGCACAGAAGACAGCAGAAAGACCACGGGGCAAATCAGAAGCTAGATTCTTGCTTGTGATAAAATGCTTTACTATCTTGCCCTGCCTAATGCAGGCAGATCTGGATCTGGATTTCCTTTACAAGATCTCCTTCGTATCAACCTGGCAACAAAAAAGAAGCTGCTGTGGGCACAAGCCACATTTCAGAGCTTCGTGAAGGAGTCCTAGCGTTAACAAAATTCAGACTTCTCGCAAACATATCCAAATCCAGACACATGCTAAGCTGCAAGTTTCATTCTTCAAGAGTTCTTTCACAGACCCACTCTGCTCTCTGGTGGAGAGGGGAGATTTGCATTTTAAGCCTTATTGTCTGTGGAAGACAGCTCCCAAGATGACATTCTTTTTGACAAGGTCCGTGTATCCCTCACTAATAGTAATTTAACATGATGGCTAAAAGCAAGTAAATTTGATGGGAGAAGGGGTCTTAAAGTTATTGTTCTTTATAAAGCAAGAAAATTGGTTAGTGAAAAAGCCCTAGTAAAGCCCTAGCTGTTAGACCCCTATGACAATCAGCTACGAGATACACAACAAAAATAAAGGGGAAAAAAAAGTCATTCCTTTCAAGCTAATGAACCTACTGGATTATTTTTAGGGTTGTGGGTTGGGTTTGGGGCTTTCTCATTGGAAGGTGGAAAGGGAGAAAAGATTTTGGCAGGAGAGAAAAGCAAGAGGAAAAGCAGATTTACTAACTGCTCCCTAAGTACACACCCCTCCACTCTTCCATTTTTCGAAGGGGACTTCTTTTTTTCTATGGGGGACTAATGGGACTTGCTTTTTTTCTTTAACACTCTTGTATATGTACGCTACTTACGTATGTTTTCAGCAAGGCAATATCTCCTTCATCCAGAGCTGAAACAAGACAAGAAAGACTTAGCTTCCTGTTTTAAAAACAAAACCAGCAGTATCAATTCTGCTTCTAAAAGATGAAAACATGTATTTTAAAGGGATTCTTTTGAGTTTCTACTTTTTCACTAAACCAAAGCAGAACAAAAAAGTATCAGACATTCAAGGAAAACAAAACAGGGTCTCCAGCTACTCTCTTCAGTCCAAAAATCTGTACCACCCAGAGCTCACAGCAAGCAAGCTACTTGAACTTTGCCTCGCTCAGAGTAGCTTACCAACCTATGGCTGTACAGAGAAGGAACTAAAGGTATCAAAACTTCATCTTTTCAACTTTTTGTTTCTTAATGTTTAAGAAAACATCAGTGAAAAACTGTCACCACTTTCCACCAGTGATGTCTCTTTTCCAACATGCCCAGTGTCAGCAGAGAACAGCAACCAAATCTAAGCTGGTCTCACTAACAAAAAACTACCATAAACTACTAAAGCAGCCTGGAATCAGTAACTAAGACTGTTAAGTTTTAATATTGCAAAACAGAAACCATGAGAATGGTCATACTAGACGAGATAACCGGTCTGGTCCAATATCCCTTCTCCGACAGGAAGGTCTGCAAACATGGCAAATACACAGCGAGCTCCCCCTCCCGGGTCACACACTGTTATTAACAGCCCTTAAAACACTTTCCTTAAGTGAATATTTCTCTCAGTTTTTTGAATCCCTGTAAAGTTTCAACAGCTTGCAGCAGAATATGCAGGAAGGAATCCCCCGATTTAAATCAGCATTGTGATTCCTTTTACTTGACTTAAACTTGGAATCCAAAAATTGTACTTGGGCCTCAAAACTAAGAAAAATATAAGTCTCTATTACTGTCGTCCTCTATTTACTTCCACATCACTCATCATTTAACAGACCTTTAACATTCTCTATCCCTTCCCCCCAAAGCTATCTAAAAAATGAACGAATGATAGCCTTCACCTTAAGCATCCCTTGCCCTCCGTCTTCCTCTTTTCTAATTCCATTGTTTCTTTTTATGATAAAGGGAGCCCGAACCACACCGTATTGAAGATCTGGGCGCAGCGTGTATTATACGGTATTTTGAGAGGATTTTTTTTGTGTTGATCCTTATTTCTTTCCTGATTATTTGTACTACCCCGTTGATTTTTTGATATCTACTAAACACTATGTTGTTATAACTAAAAAAACCTTTCTTGAGTGGGAACAGTTCAAAGTCCATCCCTGATTACATATAGCATTGATTTTGTCTCTGGATGCGTTACTTAATATTTACTAGCATGAAATAAAAAGGCAAACGCAGTTCAGACATGAGGAGCAACTGGCAATTTTCACCCAGTTGGCCACCTCACCCTCTCCTGCTTCCACACCATTACTTATGACAGTGGCAGCACAGGGGGTTTGACAGCCCCTCTGCAGGACTCCACCAGCGAAGAAAAAGAAGTTATCACGTTTTATTAGGCTGATCTTCTAACTAACCACTAAACCGCAAAAGGCCTTCCGTTTTACAAAGAGCAGATTAGGGTTTTTAGGAGCCCCGGCGCCGGGGAGGCCGGCCTGCGCCGCGGGGATCGCCCCGCTCCCGAGGCCCAGCGGCTG